TATATGATAAGCAAAAAATCTCACATGATCACATATCACATATTTTCAAAGAAAATTCATTTTTCTCAGATAAAATAAGAGAAACATGTTTAAATGGGATAATTTGGATATTTTATAAAATTAAAAAAGTCCAAAGTTTGGAGGGGGATTGAAGTATTGCGATGACAAGAAGTTTGTAAATTATATAATGAATTACTTCAACCTCCATTGTAGTTTCTAATAGATACTTTAGCCTCTCATGAACTTTGGCTTATGCAAAAAACCTCCATTCACATTTAAAATAAATTATACTTTTTGAACACTTTAATTAATTAGCGTGCTATGTTCTTCTTTGCCTTCTTGAATATTTAAGAAGTTTACATTCAACGAAATGGTTGATTACTTTGAACAAATGAAGCAACAGCCCGTATATGTTCAATAGAAATGGAAACCTCTAATAGCGTTGATAGTGATGACGAGACTAATGCTGCCCCATTCAACAGCCCTGCTATATATGCAGTGGCAATGATCTCTCAAAAAAGGGTTTTGGGTGAAAGGGAGAAGAGGGTGAACCATGGTTTTTAAAACAGGATTGGAAAAACCGGTAATCATTCAGGCCCCCGGTCCCAGTTATACTATAAACCGCTAATTGACTAATACTTGTTGAAAAAGTCAGAAAACTGCTGATCTGGGCAGTTGAGCCACTAAACCATTCAACCCAAGCAACGTATTGCAAGTTTATAATTTTGAATTTTGTTAATTAAAAAAACAAAAATAAAGATTCCCACGTCCCCGACCCCAATTCATTCGTGAGCTAGAATTAGATCGAACCTCATTTTTGTTCTAATTCTAGCCCTTCCCAACTCTCAGCCCTCATACCTTGACAACTTGCGGCAGCCACGACCTATAGCGATTGACAGCGACAGCAGTGAGGCTTCATCTACTGCGGTTGTAGATGTTAAGCGGTTTCTGCTTTCTACATTACAGCGGCTATCGAAATTTGTAGCGGCAATCACCAGCGACCAAAGTAAAATCCACTGGCGGTGATTTTTGTGAGCCCAACACCGTTTTTTGTCATACCATTTGATTGTTTTCATGTTTTGCTTATGGAATCTGGTTTATGCTGTTTTTTTTTTTTACGATTTATGTTTCTCCTTTTGAATTTCTATTGATATTTTTTGTAAGCCCAAGATTTTGTTTTTCTTTTGAATTCGCATGCATTCATCTAAAATTTTTGGGATTCCATACTATTTTTACAGTGATTCTCTATTCCAGTACTCTTTGCCTTTTTTTCTTGCTTAATTAGTTATAGAGAGTCACATATTCACATTTGCTTAATTAATCTCACTTCTTTTTTTTTTTTCAATTCCTTGCTTTTTCGCTATGTCAAAGAATGATGATGTTTATGAATGATAAAATCCTTTTTTATTTTCAATTAATTAATCAAATGATGCTTATTTGCTTGAATTAATTGATTCTTGATTCTTGATTTTTGTATTATTATTAATTTTTGCTTCTTGATTCATGCATGAATTTATTGAAGTAAGATTACATTGCTTATTTGCCATGTCAAATAATGACGATGATGATATCAAGGAAATGAATAATGATAAAATCTCTCTTTTATTTTTCAACTAATTAATCAAATGATGTTTATTTGCTGAAATTAATTGCTTCTTGGTTATTATTTTTTTTTTGTATTTTATCCACATCCTAATTTATGTTTTTTTATCCGTATTTTCTGTATTTTGTATTTTCTTTTGTTTTTTTTTTTGTATTTTTCATGTGTTATGTACTTTATTATTTTTGTATTTAGATAGTTTTTTTCTGTATTTTATTTAATCTAATGCTATTTTTTATTTATAATCTTTTTATTTTTAATTGATTTATGACATCATGGGTTGAACGACTTGACCTGGACGGTTGAACTCCTGAACCGAAAAACAGACCCCTAACCGGTTCTGTTTCCAGGTTGGCTTTAAAATCCTTGGGGTGAACAATGAAGAGTTACCCTCTCTATTTTCTTTCTAGACATTTTTCTCTTTTATTCGGAGTTATAATACCCATTTCCCCCTTCTTTATCTTCTAGTCTCTATATTTCATTTGGTTTGCAATGATGAAAAAATGGGGTAAATTTGACTGTTTGGGGCCAATAACTTATGCGGTTGAGAGTGTTTTTGGCTTGGACACATTCACCCATTCAAAAACTATTGAGTCCGGATCTCCTACCAACAACAAAATATTCCAACTCCCTACCATCTGACACCGCACATTCATCATGACAGGTCCCGGTGTTAGAATTCTCTCTCTCTCTCGGCATGGTTCTTCTCTCTTCATTGTGTTTGATACTCCCCTCCGACCCTCATTTTTAAAGAATGGGTAACCCCTCTGGCAATGTTTGTTATGGATACTTAGAGGGGTGATAGCATGATCAACTTGTTGTTTTATTTATTATTCATTTATTTATTTATTTTTTATTCGTGTGGGGCTATACAACCCCCGGGGGGCATAGAAATTTCCCCCCTCCCTTGACCCCCAACCCTAATGGCGACGAAATTTGATTCCAAATATATACTCTGATGAATCAAAGATCCCAAGTCTCTACCAATGTACCAATTGGTCATTGTTTTATTTATTTATATTTGTTAACTCGCAGGTAGGGGTGAGCATTCGATTTATTCGGTTAAAAACCGAATCGAATAAATAAAAAATTTAAAAAATCAAACTAAAAAAATAAAAAATGAACTGAAATTGAAATAACCGAAACCAAAATTTTTGGTTTGGTTTTCAGTTAAAACCAAATTTTAATAATATATACTCTATTATATATATTATAACATATAATATATATTATATGTTATAAAATATATATTATGAAATCAAACTTAATATACTATATCTTATATGTTACATAATAAAAGTTTGGTTAATTTGAGTAACCAGAATTCTAATTCTAAAAATCAAAACTGAAAGCCGAATTAGTCAAAAACCAAATAAAGCGAACCGATTTTCTTAACCGAATAGTGCTCACCCCTACTAGCAGGGATCCATGCAATGTATGAGATTTGTCAAGAAAAAATGAAACAATGGAAATCTATAATTATTATAAGGAAGGAATGCAATGTTGTTTAAAATAATTAATTGTTTAGTGATGTGTTACAATAATAATTTTGTAATTTAGTAACTTTGTTTAATTACATTCATAATTTTTAACAATAATAATAAATTATTGCTAATTATTTAATAAAATTATTATTCCTTCCATATTATCCATTAATATCTATGTTTTATCTATTTTACATTATTAATTGTTAAATGTTATACCTTTTTGTAAATGTTACTTAAATATTAGTAAATAAAAAATTAGGTTGTAGGCATAGTTAAACTAATCTATATATGAATTTTGTAGTCATGATTAAGTTAATTTGGAATTGAGCTCAACGTTTAAGACTCCGGTTGGGCTTTAGTTGTTCCTTAGCCTCACTCTTTTTTTGGTAAACATCATCAACCTCACTCAACCCCTAAGTTGTACGCTTAAGAGCAATGTGACACTCATAATAAGCACAACGTATACATGCATCTTTTTTCCAAGGTTTTAACTGTGTTTCTATAAAAAAACTAATAATATTGAACCTGAAAGACCCATGGGGGATAGACTACCCCTATTGCGTAGCCTAATGAACCAAAAGCATAGAAGAAGCGAAGCTAGATCTTGATAGAGTATTACTATGATTTTTATAAATTAAATTTTTATTTAATTTTAATTCATTATAGAAAATATATAAATATTAAATCTATATATTAATATAAAACTTGTTATCTATCTATCTATCTATCTCTCTCTATATATATATTAATATTTTATTGTTTTTGGGGTTAGCTTGGGCCTTGCACATTAGGGCTATATTCCAATAACTGATTTGACTCAAAATCCAAATATGTTGCATTTGAATGTTAGACTTGCATCCAATTAATAATGGGAGCATATGTGAATTTAATCCCATCCGATCCAACTAAATTCCGAGTCCAATAAAAAAGATTATTTCATGTATATATAGTATAATTATATAAAATTTATAATTGATAAATTTAATATTTTATATTTATTTACATTTATTTTACATATATATATATATATATTATAATAATGAGTTTGTCAATAATGCAACATCATTCATGGACAAATTGGGAATTTTAAAATCTTTGAAGCATGACATCATCAAATTTCGTTATTTTTTTAATGGATGGGTGTAATTATTACCCGAGATCTGCTCCTCATACATGGGCGCCTCACAGGCACATCCACCGTGCATTGGGAACATCTCTCGTAAATAATAACTTATAAATATGGTAGATGTTCCCAATGCATGGTAGGATATGCATGTGAGATCGATGTGAGGCACCCTGTGTGAGGAGCCAATCCGGTCTCCGTGGGGAATGAGATCCGCTCCTCACACATGGGCCCATCCACCGTGCATTGGGAACATCTCCCATGAATAATAACTTATAAGACGAGAGATGTTCCCAATGCATGGTAGGATGTGTATGTGAGATCAGGTGTTAAGCGCCTTGTGTGAGGAGTAGATCCGGTCTCAATGGAGAACGAGATTTATTCCTCACACATAGGTGCCTCACAGGCACATCCACCGTGCATTGGGAACATCTCCGACAAATAATAATTTATAAGTACGAGAGATGTTCCCAATACATAGTAGAATGTGTATGTGAGGCGCCCTAGGTGAAGAGCATATCGGGTCTCCAAAAGTGGAGGGAGGATTTTGTAACCGTTAAAAGTTCAAGGGAAGCGAATCAACTGTCAGAATTGACAGGGGAGGTTAAAGTAACTTATCCTAGATTATACGGTCAAAGTTGGATCAAGACAATTGAGACTTGAGATTTTGCTTTATAATACAAGACATTTCGAGATCGACGGTGAAAATGATACTTAATTTGGAACCATTGGATCAAATAGATCAAACGGCTTGTGAAGAAACCCTAGTCGCCAGTGAGGGTTAGAGGGCTTTTAAAGACGAGGAGGGGCTATGTGTTAAGCCTCTAATTTGCTCAACTCTCTCCCGAAAGCCTTTGGCGACGCGATCTCGGGAGAGTTCCTCCGCTTTTGAAGGTTAGATACTTAGATCTTTGTTTCTCATCTTGTCTAAATAATTCTTTCAGTCGATGTTTATAGGATTGTTATGCAAATTCATGTGGATTTTTGCATCATCTCTTGCATCCATATCATTTTAGAGTATTTTGATTCGAATCTGAAAGTATTTGCGTATAGGGATTCATATTTTAGCCGGTTGTTTTATATATTTCGTGCACGACTTGTTGGTTTAGTTTCTAATCGGAACACTGGATATTATGCTATTGGATTTGCATGGTTTGTGAGATGTGTCTGTGAATATGTCTTCTGAGTTTCATTTTGCATTAGATCTTCTGTTTCCTTATCGATCTTTTCGCATGTTAAAATTTTATCGCCACAAAATATATATTTGGACTTCTGTTTGCTACGAGATCTGTTTTTGGTTTATTTACCGTTTAAATGTTAAAGTTTTCACGAGATATGTCTACAAGCTTTCTTATCTCCTTGGCATCCGGAATCACATCCGGCTGCTTTTATGTTATCTGTAAAAATTTATATTTTATATGGAAAATAACTTCATACAGTGTTGATAATCTTGTTGGTATGATCTTATGATTTGTTGGCTTGATGTGTTTCGATTTTAGATGTAAATGGGTCATGCCTTCGATTTTTCTTGTATAACATAGTATACGTTTTTGATGGGCTAAGCATGTTAGCGTTGATGGTTTTGATATTTCCTGTGAAGTTAAAGATAAACAATAGATATTTTATATAATAATTAATAATTATTTATATTTTATATGCTATTTTTAATAATTTTTTACAATAAAAAATAACAATAATTAATTTTAGATAGGTTTGTTTATCAAGCTTAGGATGCCAATTTTCTTTTGGGGATTTGGCCCTAATGGGGATAGGGATGATTTCTTCCGGGGATGGAGGTGGGAAAATTTTCATCCTGGGGATTGTGTGGGAACCGGAGATCACTCCCTTTCCCACATGGACCCTGATCCCTGACCCATGGGTATATGCTAATATTTAAAAAAATATGGTTTAATGTGTTTGAACCATTTCTAATAAGATTGTAAAATTTAATTATAAAAGCAAAAACATAATGGCTGACATTATAAGAATTGCGTGGAGTGGGGATTCCTGTAGGGGCAGGGATGGGGAGAGGCTATTTGTCCCTACCCTGCCCTGCCCCATTGCCATTTTTAATCAAATTAATGCAACTAACCAACCTGATTTCTAGTATTTCTAGTCAGCTTTGGTTCAATAATTTTCCAACCTTTGGGTTGAATCATTTTTGCTGTGGTCATTTGTAAATTAACTAAAATTGACTGATCTGATCTCACCATGGATATATATTAATATTTTATATTTTAAATATATTTTTTAATACGGGAAAGTGGCAAAATAACAATACATTTTAGGTTAAAATATTTTATATCATAAATTTAATTTTTAATAATGTCATTGTAATTTTTTTAAATTTAAACTTAATTTTTAATTTTAAATCTTTTGAATTGATTGGCCAAAACGAAAATTGACCCAAACCGATATAACTTGACTAATCAATTCTCTAACCTGAGATTGATTTGGTTGGCCAAATAACCTACATCTTAACCAAACCAACCCGGGAACAATAGTTTAATGTCCAATAATTATAAAAATTTATAACAGAAATACATAATAAATTAATTTTAAAAGGCTAAATAACAGAGTTTAAATTCCAATAACTATTGTAAATATATTTATTACAAAAAACAATAATTAATTACTAAAATACAATAAATATTAATTTCAGTATATATAAATATAAATATAGGTTAAGTTTTAAAATTATTATTAATAAACATTAATTTTTTTGAAAGTTATTTTGTAGAAATATTAATTTGTATAAATGAAATTAATTATTTACAATATTATTTTTTTATTGAAAAATATCATTATTTAAATTTTAAAATATTAATTACTTGTTTAATGTAATAATCCATAAAATTATAGTACTATTAATACATAATTTTGTTTTTTTAACTATTTAAAATATTTAGTTATTTAACTAAATATTTAAAATGTTAATCTATTTATTATCATTGAAAGTTATTCAGTAACTATTTAAAATATATTATTAATTGATTTAAGATATTAATTATTGAAATATTTAAATAACATTTCATTTTTAATGTTAGATTTTTATTATTTGAAAAACATTTAGATTGAATAATCCAGAAAATCATAATTTATATTGTTTGTATATTATTTTTTATGGAGTTTTGTAAAAATATATATTTGTTAATAATATGAATATTATTAAATTGATTATAATTATTTTTATCTTTTAATAAGTATAGTAAAGTTATTATATAATTTTGTTAGTTTATTTAAATAATTCTTAAATTTATTAATTTAAACTTTCTATATATAGATGCAGATAAAAAGTGGGGGAAGCGATAAATAAGAATTAGGGATAATTTAGGAGAGAAATTGTCTACTAAATTAGAGATAACATAGGAGAAAGTTATGGATAGTGGGGGAAGTTGTTTAGTAGAAGTTTTAGTATATTAGATTATTTAGGTTATTGGAACTTGTGGTAAAGAGAGTGAGTGATTTTAGGAAGATTTTTTTTTTGGAGGAAGTATAGTTTCTAATTTGTAGTTTCAAAAATTACATGGATTAAAAAAATTAAAAACATCAAAAAAGGAGAATTTCTAGATATTCTTATATACATTTAGATACATTTGTATGAATTTGTTTTTGTATTCATTTTCGTTTTTGTTTCGAGTTTACAGATTTTTACTATTTTTCTTTAAAAGTTTACAATGGGAAAGGAGAAGGTTCACATCAACATTGTGGTTATTGGCCACGTCGACTCTGGTAAGTCGACCACCACTGGTCATCT